TATTAATTAAAATAAATAAATTTATTTATCAATTTAATATAAAAAATCATTTAAAAATTAGAAATTTATTTAATTCAGGATCTGGTCTTAGGATTTAAGTCCTAATCTAATATTTTTTTAAAATTTAAATTTTAAAGAAAATTTTAATTTAATTTAATAAGTAATTTTGATTAAAAAATTATTATAAAAATATTATTTAAAAAAAAATTAATCTTTAAAATTAATAATTTTTTTAAAATTATTCAAGACCAATTAGGACTTTTTCAACTCTAACTATTTAACTTCATCAATAATAATTAATTATAATAAATATATTTAATAGTATTAGATAATTATTAGTTTTGTAAGTATTATCATTTATAACAATATTATGATATTGATAATTCATTTGTTTTTGTTTTAATGACATTCAAAAGATTTTAGATAGTCTATTGTTAATACCTTCAAAGTTTAATTTAAAATACCATTTAGAATTTTCTGTATGTAGTTTAACCAAATGTTAAAATAATATTATAGTATTATTCTTAGTTTATATATTAGTTTTAAATTTGCATATTGTATTATAAAGGTTTTAATGATAGATATTTTAATCTAGATATCTTTTTTGTAATATTATCTTTAAAACAATAGCACTTAAATAACACTTTTGTATATAAAATTGTATATTATTCATCATATTATTTCATGATACTAGAAAAAATTCTTAAAGAAGAGTAATACTTTATATAAATAATTATGTTTATTAACAAACTTATTTAAACTTATATAGATTTTCAATCTCAATTTAATTTAAAAGCTACCTTTTTTTAGGTATATATTTATTACTATAATGATATCTATATAATTTCTGTGACTATATATCACCTTATTTTTCAGAATTTATTATTCTTATTTCAAATCCTAATTGAAAAGTATATTATTTTAAACATTATTCAAGAATTTCAAATGTTGTAAATATGTAACCTTCATAAAATTTTTTTCAATAAACTATTTTCAGATTTATTTCTTCAGTTTAAAACCTCATTTATATCCAATTATATCTATAAATCATATTCAAGTTATGATTACTGTTCATTAATTATATTCATCTGAAAGAAATAAAAGAAATGTTTATAGAACTTTTTTTAAAAAAATGAAAGTGAAAATTCAAAATAATAAATGATAGTCTAATTTATTATTAAACAAATTATATGATATGAAGTAAAAATGGTCATCACAATTAAAAAAAATGATGCAATTGAGTTGTAACCTGTGGCGCAATTAAATTTCCTTATGGCGTAATTAAGTTGCAACTCAATTGAAATTTGAAATAATTATGGAGACCATCTTTAATATGAAGGATAAATATATATATATCTGTGGATATATTATAATATACTGTTATAAATTAAATCCAAATATAATTTTAACTTTAATTTTTATATAAATATTAAAAGTAAAATATTACTATGTAATAAAAAGTAATAATTATAAACAAATCTGACTGTATATATAATTTTAAATACTTTATTAATAATTTAAAAAATAAAAAATTAAAAATTTAACATTTTAAAATTTTATAAATTTAGATGAAAATCCTTACCATTTAAGTGCGATAATAACTATATTCTTATCAAAAAGTTGTCTATCAATTTTGGTGTGAAATTGTCCTATAGAATATATTATTAATTAACATATTAGATAGCAATTTGATAAATTTGGAAAAGTTATTTGGACAAGAGATGAAAATATATTTTGCGAATTTTTTATAACGTTGATAAGTTAAAATTATTTAGAACCTGATCAAGAATAATTTTTTTGATTTTATAAAGTTAAGGGATTCAATTACAACATAAAATGGATTAAATATAATTTAAACATTTTAAATTCCAATAACTTTGTTGGATTTTTTCTAACATCATTCTGGTCAACACTAATATATTGGCTTATATTTATTTTTAAAATCTTACTAATCCGCAAAATTGATAAAATTATAATAAATATTAATAAAGATATGTAAACTGTCAAATAATAAATTATTTAAATGATTAGGTTTGACTGAATTTTTGATTATTTAAAAGTGATTTCGACTTTTGTCCTTATATTAAAAAAAAAAAAATTGAAGGACGAAACCAAAGTTCGAAACCCAACCCATAGATGCGGCAAGCATCATTAGTTTCAACCCGTTTAATGAGAAACAAATAAAAGAGATCGTTGTTTATATACATGTATTCAAATATAACATTCTTTGATATAAAATATAATATGTACTGTATTCAAAAAGATGCGTACTATGTATAGAATGCAAATAAATGCTAATTTACATTAAATATTTCTTATGAAAAAATTTTAGAAAATAATAGTTAATAAATTTAAAATATCACGAAAACGTTGGTATCGTCCCAATGAAGGTTTACTCAACGATCCTTAGATATCTTAAAGTTGATCTTTTGAGATAATATGGAATGTAACTTGTATCGTTAGCGCTCACGTCCGACGGATTTCCATCTCTCCACTGAGCAGCAAGTGGAGGTTCAATGCTAAAGGAATTAATCTTCCCAGGTTCTATAAGTCGTACCAATTCCACATCTATTGGTTCTTTAATATTGGAAAGTTCATTTAAAAGCACCCAAGCACCGATGAATGAGATTGCGTACGCATGTGTGCAAGATGGTCGTGTGGAAACGTATAGATTTGGATGCTTGTATGGATCTCGCAAATTTTCTTCGCTACAATGGCCAATATAAAGCATCTCCCAGGATCTAGGAAGGTATTGTACAATGTTTCCTAGTTGTTTTTCAATATCCATCTCCATGTCAATATCATCTTCTAATATAATGGCATTTTGTAACCGGTCATCAAAGATTGATTGATATACTTTTAAATGACTTAACCAACAGGCTATTGCACCTCTGGTTAAATATCCATTATGTTGCTTGTAGTAAACATCAACTTCGCTCGAACTGGAGTCAATAGCAGAGACAAACTTATAATCAAGGTTAAGTTGATTTAACATTTTTGTCATTCGTTCCCTTCTATCAGTACGGCGTTCGATATTTATCACGTAGATTCTATCAAAGAATAAAGTCTTCCTATATGAATTCCCTTTACCGCTTTGACAAGATTTGATACCATTTTCAATGACGACATTGTTTCTTCGGAACGTATAGGGTGTACTATAAAATAAAATGCTTATTGATACTGTTAAAACCAACACAACGAGAAATACTTTGTTGCCGACCGCTTTCGTCATCGTCATCCTTAAAATTTAAATTCTCGGAAATTTAGGTATTGATTTATATATATAATAAAAAAAAATATTACGTAAACAACGATCATTTATGAAATTTATGAAGCAATTTTACCCACATATGATTATCATATGGAGTGGTTCAATAGAAAATAAAGGGGTTAAATCCAAAGCTTCTTATTGGCTTATCAGGAATATTTTAAGGGGTGGGGAGTCAAAAGCTAGGTCATGTTATTAACCTAAATAGCTGTCTTTTTATTAAACTTTTTTTGTATTGGTGTATCTAAAATTGAACGGAATGGATCTTTTGGATTATTCAAATTCGACTAACTAAATAAATTTTCCTCTTTTTAAAAAAAAAAAAAAATTTCAGAAAAAAAAATCTTTTTTTTTTATTAGTAATTCCCACATTTTTATAATAAACTAAACTAGATCCAATCTATTTATATTTATCAATTTTAGTTTGTAGTTGGAGATCAAACAAAATGAATGATCGGTGATTTATTGTTGATCAGTTGAAAAGTTTGGCGTAGATTAAGAGAAGCATCCCGATGTCCAATTATGACGTTATAAAAATTTAGATTGAACTTACTACTCGTACCTTAATTCGTTTCTATTTATATATTTATGAATCAAGTGAAAATTACTATGAGCATATTATTGGGTAAATCGAATTTGGTTAGTCTACGGACCAATAAAATTTAGATTCCCAAATTTAAAAAAGCTTTTATTCGGGCGAATATCTGATTTATCCGGGTCATGTTGAATAATTCATTTTCTTTATTTTACTGTTAATTATTTACTGTAAGTAGTAAAATTATTAAGGTATAGTACATACAGTTAATTGAAAACAATTGTTTTTTAGTCATTACGACATTTTTAAAACCTGCAGCCCCAATGGGACTTGTAACTGCCAATCTCCATAAGATCTGACTTAAAGTTCACGATTCTTAAAAGCATTCCTATTTAACTATATAATTAATTTTTCTCCGTTTGCTAGGAAAGGAAATGATTTTTACGAAAATTCGTTACATCGCGAAACTTTTATTCTTTCACATATATAAACATTTATTCATAACCGCAAATTTTATCTAGGAAATTTCGGATAAATTTTGGCTTTCTCATGATTAATCACACTTTTTTTTTAAAAAAAAAAATTTTGGGATAATTTATGTGAATAATATTAAATAATATATCGAATGTTATCTTTTAATATTATCATAATTTCTCTGTCAAGAAATATTCTTGCCGTTTTTAAAAGTGCAAGCGTTACAATTTGTTTTCTTGCTGCCATTATTAATGGTACAAGTTTTACAAACCGACCTTTTAGATGAAATTACTAAAGTACACTCCTTACACGTTTTTTGCCACTTTTAGTTGAACATTTTTTCGTTTTCTCTATTACGCGAGATAACTTTTGTGATTTATTCTTTTTGGTTGGTTGCGTTGAGGCTGAAGCGGTCAATTCTAAAGGTCTTCCAAAAAAATGATTGCCCTACTCCAAAATGAGTCTCCAAAATCTTTTCCCGATGTCCTTTAGATTTCTTCCAACTATAAATAATAAATATATATATAAGGTTTATATGTGCAAAAGGATTTTCAAGTAAGAAACACTTACGCTTTCATGACAGGATCATCTTAATTTTATTTGATGCCTTTGGCTACATTATCCCCAACATTTGCAAAATTAAATCCTTGAGCTACATTCCTCGTCATTATGGATCAACGTATTTGTTTTAACCACGAAATTGTTATGAAGTTGTGTGGCTTTCATCAAACGATTTCATTGAATAAACTAAATGAAGAAATTCAATGGTTTATTCTATTAATTTAAACTTACTCGTCAAATTTTAGTGAGCTACATCCCGCTTTTTTACGTTCACCATTAAATTAATGTAACTACGGCTAGAAAAAGAATACTGCAAAAGGCTTAATTGCTACCATTTGTAATTTCTTTTTTATTTTATTTTTTTTTTTTTTGATAAAATGCGCTTGGAGGAAAAAAATTAAGTTGAGATTTTGTTTAAAGGGATTTTTTTTTTAACTTTGTAGGAAAAAGTAGGGATGTAATTTAATTAATTAGGTTATGTCTTTCAAAGAAAAACGAAAGGATAAACAATATTTTCTTCGAATATTTCCAAGTTATAGACATTTTCTACATTAATGTTAACATTTCAACCACATTGATAGCCACGCATCCCTGCACTTCGTCAATTCTAGAAAGTGAATATCCGTTTCACCAAATATATGAGAAAATATATGTTGTGTAATTACTTGCATTACTTTAATTCCTTTTGGGTACGATTTATTTTTTGTCATCGTTAGCTTTCCTTAAAGTTTAAAATTCAAGAGGGTCTAATTTCCGAAACGCAGGAAAAATAATGACGTATATTATTGGTAATTGTAGTCGGCTAAATTAACTTTAATTAATTTAATGAAAGAAATGACTAAAAAAGAAATGAGATCAATAAGTCCAAAATTTATTTCCAATAACAATTTCGTTCTGATACTGAATTTATCAGAAGTAAATTTGTCTTATTCAATTCTAATTTGTATTTCATTTTAAATTCAAAACGATATAATCAAATGGCTGATTCGTATAAATTGATCCTTTCTGATTTTCGAATATTATACCTCTCATAATTTGAAATGCTCTGAAATAACTTATTATAAATAATAATACCAGCGACAATAATCCCGTCGGTATGTATACAAAGAATATTTGTATTACAAATGATAATATACATTTTAAATTGTGAGTGCATATCGGCCATTTTGACTAATCCTTTTAAAAATATTATTAATTAATTAACGAATTAAATAAATTAACTAATATTTTTTTTCAATCATTGCATTGAATTATTATAAATTTTTATTTTTTTCAGATCTTAATTTTTTTTTATTGTTTTAAATGCTTTTTTTTTTTTATTTCAATTAGAAAATTAATAGAAAAAACCTATTATTTTTTTAATTATATAACAACTCAAAATGATCACACAAAGAAAACCTAAAAAAAATAATAATAATCACAAAAAAGGAATAATAATAAGTAAATGTTTATCCATTATTTAATTAATATAGCAACTTAAAGTAAAAGTAATTAAAAATAAAGCAAAAAGTAAAAATTATAATCAACAAAATTAGTTAGTAATAAACTTGCCTACTATTAATAATCTGAAGTCATCAAAACCTAATCACTTCAAAAAAGAAACCAATTTAAAACAATAAAAAAAAATTAAGATCTGAAAAAAATAAAAATTTATAATAATTCAATGCAATGATTGAAAAAAAATATTAGTTAATTTATTTAATTCGTTAATTAATTAATAATATTTTTAAAAGGATTAGTCAAAATGGCCGATATGCACTCACAATTTAAAATGTATATTATCATTTGTAATACAAATATTCTTTGTATACATACCGACGGGATTATTGTCGCTGGTATTATTATTTATAATAAGTTATTTCAGAGCATTTCAAATTATGAGAGGTATAATATTCGAAAATCAGAAAGGATCAATTTATACGAATCAGCCATTTGATTATATCGTTTTGAATTTAAAATGAAATACAAATTAGAATTGAATAAGACAAATTTACTTCTGATAAATTCAGTATCAGAACGAAATTGTTATTGGAAATAAATTTTGGACTTATTGATCTCATTTCTTTTTTAGTCATTTCTTTCATTAAATTAATTAAAGTTAATTTAGCCGACTACAATTACCAATAATATACGTCATTATTTTTCCTGCGTTTCGGAAATTAGACCCTCTTGAATTTTAAACTTTAAGGAAAGCTAACGATGACAAAAAATAAATCGTACCCAAAAGGAATTAAAGTAATGCAAGTAATTACACAACATATATTTTCTCATATATTTGGTGAAACGGATATTCACTTTCTAGAATTGACGAAGTGCAGGGATGCGTGGCTATCAATGTGGTTGAAATGTTAACATTAATGTAGAAAATGTCTATAACTTGGAAATATTCGAAGAAAATATTGTTTATCCTTTCGTTTTTCTTTGAAAGACATAACCTAATTAATTAAATTACATCCCTACTTTTTCCTACAAAGTTAAAAAAAAAATCCCTTTAAACAAAATCTCAACTTAATTTTTTTCCTCCAAGCGCATTTTATCAAAAAAAAAAAAAATAAAATAAAAAAGAAATTACAAATGGTAGCAATTAAGCCTTTTGCAGTATTCTTTTTCTAGCCGTAGTTACATTAATTTAATGGTGAACGTAAAAAAGCGGGATGTAGCTCACTAAAATTTGACGAGTAAGTTTAAATTAATAGAATAAACCATTGAATTTCTTCATTTAGTTTATTCAATGAAATCGTTTGATGAAAGCCACACAACTTCATAACAATTTCGTGGTTAAAACAAATACGTTGATCCATAATGACGAGGAATGTAGCTCAAGGATTTAATTTTGCAAATGTTGGGGATAATGTAGCCAAAGGCATCAAATAAAATTAAGATGATCCTGTCATGAAAGCGTAAGTGTTTCTTACTTGAAAATCCTTTTGCACATATAAACCTTATATATATATTTATTATTTATAGTTGGAAGAAATCTAAAGGACATCGGGAAAAGATTTTGGAGACTCATTTTGGAGTAGGGCAATCATTTTTTTGGAAGACCTTTAGAATTGACCGCTTCAGCCTCAACGCAACCAACCAAAAAGAATAAATCACAAAAGTTATCTCGCGTAATAGAGAAAACGAAAAAATGTTCAACTAAAAGTGGCAAAAAACGTGTAAGGAGTGTACTTTAGTAATTTCATCTAAAAGGTCGGTTTGTAAAACTTGTACCATTAATAATGGCAGCAAGAAAACAAATTGTAACGCTTGCACTTTTAAAAACGGCAAGAATATTTCTTGACAGAGAAATTATGATAATATTAAAAGATAACATTCGATATATTATTTAATATTATTCACATAAATTATCCCAAAATTTTTTTTTTTAAAAAAAAAGTGTGATTAATCATGAGAA